GACCCTTCCCTGTACGAGCCCTTTTCCGCAACCTTGGACGAGTCTGAGCCGATGTCCAAAGCTTCCGAAGCGGAAGGCGATGCCACTCACGCGGCAAGGTGGCACAGCATAGCTACGAAACAAAAGGCGTGCGGCTTTGATAACCACACTATTGGGGCTTGTTGGCTTTGGTTGCAGCATTCCCCCTGCATAGATCTGAATATGAGTGCCACGTGATGAAGGTTGAGAAGGAAGCATGGGCCACGGCGAAGAAGCAGCATCTGAACCGTCAGAGTCAGAGAACGAGACCGGGTGCAAGTTGACCCGCAGAACGACTGGCCGCCGGGCAACAAACAGCAAAATAGGAAAAACGGTGTGGCAGGTGACCCATGCGGATGACCCCCAAATCGACATGTGGGTGATTGAATCAATTCTCTGGTACGGATACAGCGAACTGTTGCCTGAAAGCACCCTTCCAAGGTCAGCTTGATGGCTTTTTCTTCGGCAGATCCCAAACCGCCGCGCGCCAGTGAATCCAACGGTCGCTTTTTGGCCGTCCTGCACCGCGGAAGCGTGCTCGAGCTCCGTTACCGTCAAATTCCGCGCATGCTGCATTCCCAAAGACCAGGGGCGCACCTTTCCGACACGTTCTCGGCGACCTGTCGGCAACTTCTGCGCTTCAAAAATCACAACACCACTCAGCTAGTGCAGCTAGTGTCTCGAGTTCGTGTACCGACCGGACTGGGATCTCACCGGGCCGGGCCTGGCCCTCGGCTTCAGATGGCCTCCAAGCAGGTCGCGGGGCTCGCGGGGCTCGCCAGAAAAGAGAGACGGAGACGAGGTAGACGACGGATTGTCGCTTCTGAGCTTCGCACTGGCGCGAGAGGCTGTTCAAGGAGGCCAGGCCCCAACCTTCACCGGACACAGTGGTACCGTATACTCTCTGCAGTTTTGTGACTTCGCGAGTAGCCTTGTGCTCGCAGGTGCCTTCAGGCAAAACCGCTGCAGATGAAGGAAACAATCGAGTAGGAACGGCAGCATGGGTGCCTGCTCAAGGACGCCACGGGTGCCTTTCGCTGCTTGAAGCCCTGAGCACCGAAGAGCCGCGGCTAGTTAGGGTGTGTTAGGATTTAAGCTGTTATGGGACTTCATGATAAGGATCGGGGCTTGTTCTTGTTGGAAAGCGGGGCATACCAGCGTCCAACTAGAGAAGAACAATATGACTGGTATGTTGCTAATTGCTCAGAACATCTCAGAACCCCATGTTATCGTGATGCACATCGCCCAACCCGGCGGAACACAAGCGCCGTTGGCTTTAAGCACAGTGCGTGAGGGTTTGGTATCGATGATACGCTATATGCTCACCTCACCGATCGTCTTGTAATAAGTTGATACCTCTTGCCGATGTTGAACTCGTCGCACTTAACAATGTCACTCGCAGTTCCCTTGCAGGCAACACTCGACCCTTGTTTTCGCTCTCGGCGGCAAGCGAGTGTGTCTGTGCAATCGGGAATGGCTCGATCCTCAAAGTTGT